AGGCTGGCCTCGAACTCACAGAGATCCGCCTGGCTCTGCCTCCCGAGTGCTGGGATTAAAGGCGTGCGCCACCACCGCCCGGCTTAATAAGAACTTTTAAGATTCATGCTACATCCGGTGCCCAACGTTTGTGGTACGAATTCACAAAAAAGCTGCTTGTCTGTGGCCTTGTGGGCCCCAGCTCAGGCCTGCTCTACACTCTGCCGGTTGTGATGGTGAATGCCGGTAGGTTTTACTGAAGGAGGGAGAGGCTGAGGATCCAGCGAGGTGAGGTAGCTGTGGCTTTTTCTGGTTCTCTGATCTTCCAGTTCACCCCAATACCTGGTCCGGGTTTGATTTTATTAATAAGAACTTTTAAGATTCCTGCTACATGGTGGAAAGGGGCACACTGAGGGGAGAGCCTTGCAGCCTGCAGGGCGGCCCAGTGGGTAAAGCTGAGGACCTGAATTTGATCCCCAGACCTACAGGGTGGAAGGAGAGAACTGATTTCTGCATGTTGTCCTCAGACCTCCACATGCACTCATACAAGCCAGTTCACACACGCACACACACACACACACACACACACACTCACACACTAAATAAATGTACACACACACACATACACATTAAATAAATGTACATGCACACACAATAAATAAATGTAATAAAGTATAAACTTCTCTGCAACAAAGTCACATACAAAAGAGGAACAGAAAGTTGGTTTGTGAGTGGTCTCATTTATTTGTTTGTCTATTTTGAGACTAGGTTGCACTATGTAGCCGTGAGTGTCCTGGAACTCACTCTGTAGACCAGGCTGGCCTTGACTTTACAGAGAGCCACCTACCTCTGCCTCCCGAGTGCTGGGATTAAAGGTGTGCGCCACCACTGCCCAGTCAAGATTTTTTTTTAAAAAAATGTGCATTGAGTGTTTTGCTTACATGTATGTCTGTGTGAGTGTGCTAGATCTCCTGGAACTGAAGTTACAGACAATTGTGAGCTGTCATGTGGGTGGCGGAAACTGAACCCAGGTCCTCTGGAAGAGCAGCCAGTGCTCTTAACCACCAAGCTATGTCTCCAGCCCAAGAATTTAGATGTTTTTAAAGATGATTTTTTTTTTAAAGTAAAAAGAGGTCTTGAGAAATGACTTGGAGGTAGAGCCCCTGCCTAGAATCCCCCAGTGAGGGGCTGGGGTGTGGCTCAGTGGTAGAGCCCCTGCCTAGAATCCCCCAGTGAGGGGCTGGGGTGTGACTCAGTGGTAGAGCCCCTGCCTAGAGTCCCCCAGTGAGGGGCTGGGGTGTGTCTCAGTGGTAGAGTATTTACCTAACATGCACAAGACTGTCAGTTCAGTCTTCAGTACCACAAAGGGAAGAGGAAAAAAAGATAACAAAAAAGAAACTCCCAGGAAGTAAAGAAGGCAAAAGGAAGGAAGAAAACTCCCGCCACATCTTTGAATGCAACAACTGCAACTTCTCCTTCAGCAGTTGACAGGAAGATCTGCTCCGTAAGGACAGGTCTGACTGGGGAAGTGGTGGGTTGAGCTCGCTCTTCTGTGAAACATAAGCAGACCAGACCCAGCTCCACCACAACGGAAGGAGAAGCAGCTCCCACCATCAGTGTTTCTCAGAATTAGTGTGAAGCCTGGTCCATTGGATCAGTGGTGTTGGACACACCTTTCTTTCTCTGTTGGGGGTGGGTAGTGGGGAGGGAGACCAGGTCTTGCTATATAGCCCTGGCTGGCTTCGAACTTGTAGCAATTCTCCTGCCTCTGCTTCCGAGTGGTGTCTGATGACTGGTGGCAGTATCCTGTAAAGGCTTTGCCTGTCCTCAGCCTCTGTCGTAAATAACTGTGGTGTTGACAGCCTCGAATCCATATACAATCCCTGACTTAATAGGATTGCCGTGAGCTCCAAACCACCCTGGCCTACGGACTGAGACTAGTAATAAAAATCATGGTTGGAGAGGTGGCTCAGCCAGCAAGATCATCACTGCTCCTCCAGAGGACCCAGGTTTGATTCCCAGCACCCACATGGTGGCCCATAACCATCTGTAATTCCAGTTTCGTGGGATCCAAGGCCCTCTTCTAGCCAGACATGTGCACAGTGCACATACATACAGGTGCAGGCATGTGCTGGCTAGTTTCTATGTCAACCTGACAGAGCTAGAATCACTTTGGAAGAAGGAACCTCAGTTGAGAAAATGCCCTCATCAGATTGTCCTGTGGGCACACCTATGGTGCATTTTTTGATGTGGGAGGTCCCAGCTCACCATGGGATATGTCAAGCCTGGGCAGGCGGTCCTGGGTTGTATAAGAAAACAGCTTGAGCAAGCCAAGAGGAGCAAGCAGTGATCTTCCATGGCTTTTGTTTGAGTTCCTGCTTCCAGGTTCCTGCTTTGACTTCCCTCATTGATGGGCTGGGACCTGAGAGTTGTAAAGTGAAATAAACCTTTTTTTCCAAGGTGCTTTGGTCATGATATTTTATCACAGCTTTGCAGAGACAATTGATGCTGGTTAGCTGGAGTTGAGAAATTAGCAGTAATTAAAAAGAGACCAGGTTCCAGCAGATATTGAGTGTCAGCCAGGCAGATCTCTGTAAATTCAAGACCAGCCTGGTTTTCATAGAGAGTTCCAGGTCAACCAGGGCTACACAGTGAGACCCTGCTGAAGAAGAGGAAGAGGAGGAGGAAGAAGAGAAGGAAGCAGCGTCACTGGGGTAAAAGCTGGGAAGTGCTTCCTCAGGTTGCACACATAGAAGCTGTGGTCCAGAGGGAGGGACAGATGTACCTTGTGCTGCCAGCCAAACTTGGCAACGTGAGTTTCCAGAGTGAGACTGGAAGGCTTGGAGGAGGCATGGCGCTGAAGCAAGGCTCTGCGAGCAGCCAGAAGAAGCCATTGGTGAAGGGGCAGCCTCAGTTACAGTCCAGGCCTCAGGATTGAAGGGGTCACAGAGAGTAGGTGAGGCTCGGCACCATGTGGCAGGGTCAGAGTCCCTGAGGAGCAACCCAAAGATGTAGCCCAGCTGCAGAGACCCAGCATTTTGGAGATGCTAGTACCAAGGGGTGAGCACCAAGGGATGAGCACGCAGTTGTGGCGTGGAGCCTGCCTGAGCTTAGGAGGTGAGCTGTGTGTGCTGTGCAAGCCCTCTGGAGCCTAGAACGTGAGCCCCAGATGTCTGACACTGATTTCACACTGCTGACTTTGATTTTGCTTTGCTTTCACTGTGACTGCGCCCTGGCTCTTCCTTCTTGGAATAAGGAAATATTTTACTTGTTTTCATTTAACAGATGCCCACAGTTGAGACTTTGAACTTTTAAAGAGACTTTGGAATTTTAAGGAGACTATGGATGTTTTAGAGACTCTGATTATTTTAGAGAGGCTTGAACTTTGAAGAAGAGTTTGGATATTTTTAGAAGACTGAATTTTTCTTTTTTGTTCTGTTTTTTGAGACAGGGTTTCTCTGTGTAGCCCTGGCTGTCCTGGAACTCACTCTGTAGACCAAGCTGGCCTGGAACTCACAGAGATGTGTCTGCCTCTGTCTCTCGAGTCTTGGGATTAAAGGTGTGGGCCACCACTGCCCAGCTGAAAACTGAACTTTTAAAGAGTTTGGATTTTTAAAGACTTTGGGGCTTTTAAAAGTTAGGATGTTTTAGTCTTGTGATATTAATATTAATATGAGATCTTGGGGATGAACAAGAAAGGAAAGGTTATGGTTTAACACTGATGTGTTTTTGTGTCAAATTGGCAAGGAGTCAGTTGTGCTGGCTAGTTTTATGTCACCTTGACATAAACTGGACTTATTTTGGAAGAGGGGAACTCAGTTGAGAAAATGCCCCACTGGGTTGGCTTGTGGACAAGACTGTGGTACGTTCTCTTCATTGATGATTACTGTGGAAGAGCACAGCTCCTGTGGGAAGTGCCATCCCTGGTCGTGTGCTCTTGGCATGTGTAAGGAAGCAGGCTGAGCAAGCTATGAGAGAAAGTAAGCAGAATTCCTTCAGGGGCTCTGCATCACTCTGCCCTGACCTCCCTCATTGATGGAGTATGACCTGAACATTATAAACTGAAATAAACCCTTTCCTCCCTAAGTTGCTTTTGGTCGTGGTGTTTATCACAGCAAATAGAAACCCTAAAGCAAGGCAAAACACTCATACATATATTTTTTTCAGTCTAAAAAAATCCAAAAATAAGCCGGGTGATGGTGGCACATGTCTTTAATCCCAGCACTTGGGAGGCAGGGCCAGGCAGATCTCTGTGAGTTCGAGACCAGCCTGGTCTACAGAGCTAGATCCAGGACAGCCACCAAAACGACACAGAGAAACCCTGTCTCAGAAAACAAAAACAAAAACAAAACAATCAAAAAATAACAACAAAACCAACTTGTTTACATGGCAGTTAAGCAGTGAAAGCCGCGTGCAAATGAGTGGGTAAAGCTTCTTTAAGATCCCTTCACAAAAGCTGGTTGAGGGTATGTTGAACTTGGCCCTTGAGCTGATGACTTCTCTAGGCCTGATCAAAAGGTTAGTTCAGGGGCTGGAGAGATGGCTCAGTGGTTAAGAACACTGACTGCTCTTCCAGAGGACCCAGGTTCAATCCCCAACATCCACATGGCAGCTCACAACTGTCTGTAACTCCAATATCTGATATCCTCATACAGGCAAAATATCAATATACATAAAATAAGAATAAATAAATATTTTTTAAAAAGGCTAGTTCAAATGTATGTCTCCTAATTCTGTTTTGCTAACTTGGGGTAGATCATGTTGGGATTGAGTGTGTCCCAGAATGACCTAGGTGTTCCCTCTGCTCTTGGCCCTGAGAGAGTAGCGTATATCCACAGCTCTTGGTGTGGACTTGGAAGTCTGTGGATTGGGTTAAAAAATCAGGTTAAAGGGGGTTGGGGTGTGGCTCAGTTGGTAGGGTTCACCTAGCATACAAGAAGCCTGGCTTCCACTCTCATGACCCCATAAATCAGGCATGGTGGTGAACACCTGGAATGGTTGAGGCAGGAGAATCAGAAGCTCATCCTTGGCTATACCTCCAGTTTATGGCTAATCTGGACTACATGTGACCACAAAAAGAAAGGAAGAGGGAGAGGGGAGAGAGAGGGAGAGGGAAAGAGAGAGGGAGGGAGGGAGAGAGAGAGAGAGGGAGAGAGAGAGAGGATCAGCACTGATGGGATGGCTCAAAGGGCAGAGGAACTGTTGCCAAGTCTGATGACCTGAGTTCAATCCTAGGCCCGTAAGGCAGAAAGAGAGAACTTATTCTTTAAAGATGTCCCCTGACTTCCACACATGTGCTGTGCATGCACATGTACCCCGCAGCACAATAAATAGATTTTTTTTAAAAAGCAAACAAAAAACAAAACAGGTTAATAGAACCAGGCATGGTAGCCCTCTGGCCCCTGCTCACCCCTAACACCACACCCAGCCTCGTGATTCAGCCTGAAGAGGCCTTAGAGTGTCTCAAGTGTGAAGACAAGAAACACTTTCTGGAAAGGTGCCCCCTTCAAGAGTTGGGAGTGGCAGAAGAAAAGAAGGGGAGAAATTGGGGGAAGAATCAGAGACAAGGTGTTGGGCGTCACTCATGGGGAGGCCTCCCTGAAACAGGCATGCTCAGAAGCTGAGAATCTGGGGTATCAACGTTTCCAGACCACAGACAATGGTCTCCAAGAAATGGGGGAGAGTCAGAGGGCTTGAGCCTTAAAGCCAGGTCACCAGGGCTTAGGTCCAAGGAAACTCCTCACAAAATATAGCCTGATTGGGTAAGGAGGGGCAGCCAGTCCTGGGCCCCAGGACCAGAGATGGTTTACCTTGTGGCGCTGGACATTGAATGGAGGCCCTGGTGTCTACTAGACAAGCTTCCCCCCCCCCCCCCCGAGCCACATCCCTAGCTCTGGGTTTCTGGAGACAGTATCTTCCTACCTTTGAACTCCACCTTCCTGCCTCAGCCTCCCTGAATGCTGGGCTACCACTCCACCCCACCTAGCCAAATGAGTACCCTGGACTTAAACATGTGGTGGCCCAGGGCTGGGAGATGGACCAGTGGGTAGAGCACTTGCCACACAAGCACAAAGGTCCGAGTTCAAATCCCCACAACTCCTGTAAAGGCCAGATAAAGTAAAAGCCGGGCGGTGGCACACACACCTTTAATCCCAGCACTCGGGAGGCAGAGCCAGGAGGATCTCTGTGAGTTCGAGGCCAGCCTGGACTACAGAGTGAGATCCAGAACAGGCACCAAAACTACACAGAGAAACCCTGTCTTGGAAAAAAAATTATGATGGCCCATGACTTTAATCTCAGCACTTCAGAGACGGAGGCAGGGGGATCTCTATGAGTCCAAGGCCAGTCTGTTTTACATAGAGTTACATAGTGAGAGCCTGTCTTTGAAAAGAATGTGGGGCTCAGTGGGCGAAGCACAAAACCCCAGGTTCTCTTCCCAGGAATTCCTGCACTTGGGAGGAGGAAGCAATAGAAGCCAGAGTTCAAGGTCATTGTTAGCTACATGGGGAGTTTGAGGCCAGCCTGGGCTACATGAGACACAGTCTGGACAAAAACAAACCAACCAACCAAAGACCAAACAACCAAAAAGTGTGGGGTATTAGGAGGTATTATGCTGAATTTCTCAGGTGGACACCCCAGTTTGAGAGCTGGGGACCCAGGTCTAAGATGACTCAGAGGATAAGGAACCTTGCTGCCAAACCTCACAACTGAACCTGAGCTGGATTCAGAGAACCTACTTTTTGTCCTCTGACCTCCCTGCATGCACCATCACACACACAGACACACACACACACACACACACACACAGACACACACACACACACACAGACACACACACACACATACAGACACACACACAGACACACACTCATTTTAAAAAGGAGTAAAGTCTGGGGACCCTGAAAAAGAAGTTGGACTCTTGCGGCACCAAGGCCAGCCCCAGCATTAAAGGGCAAGTGGTGGGAATCTGTCAGGAGTGGGTGGGGGTCTCCGTACCGGATCAGCGTGGCCCCTGCATGCTCCAAATTCCCCAGGGACAGCAGGCACAGCAGCACCCACGGTGGCAACATCTCCGGGGACTGGTGCTAGGCCGAGATGTCCTGTGGCCTCTTTTTCCCTTTGAGACTCCACCCTGTTCACGCCCCACCACCTACTGAAACACAGAAGTGGTCCTGTGCGTGTGTGTGTGTGTGTGTGTGTGTGTGTGTGTGTGTGTGTGTGTGTGTGTGTTTGACTAGACTTGGGAAGAGCGGTGCGGTCAGACCCACACCCACCCTTTCCTGACACCTCTACGCTTTTACTTTTGACTCTCAGTTCTCCTTTCTGAGACTCATTAACCACACACTGTTCTTGAGCAAGAGGAAGGGACGGAAATGGTCTGTAAGGGTCTGGGAAGGGACAGCCAGTTTCAACAGAAGCACGCTGGCCTGTGTGAGTGGCTCTGCCAGCCTCTCGGGGTGCCCGCTCTTTCTGTTTTTGTTTTTAGCGAGGAGGGGCTTCTCTCTCCTTTTACATTTTAATTAGCTAATTTATTTGTGCATGTGCCCACATAGCACAGTATGAATCAGAGGTCAGAGGACAACCTACAGGAGTCAGTTCTTTCCTTCCACTGATGCGTCTCAGGGATCAAAAGGGGTCAGACCCAGGTCCGCAGGCTTGGTGGCGAGTGTCTTTATCTGCTGAGCCATCCCCCAGCCTTCTGTTTATTTTGAAACAAGGTCTCATAATGTTACTAAGCTCAAATAATCCTCTTGCCTCAGGCTCTAGAGCAGTGCTTCTCAACCTGTGGGTCACAGTCCCTTTGGGGGTCGAATATCAGATATCCATGTTATGATTATAACAGTAGCCAGAAGTGACTTTATGGTTGGTGGTCACCGCGTGAGCACTGTAATGTGAGCACTGTAAAGGGCGGCAGCACTAGGCAAGTTGAGGACGGAAGCTGTGGAGTATCTGGACTGCAAACACACTCAGCAGGGCTTGGGAGACCGCGGCGGCGTAGTGGGACTTGAGTGCCGTGCCCACACCGGGCTGTGGAGCGATCGATCTATGGCAGTCCTGGCGCTGGGGAATACAGTGAGGCCCGTGGGGGGTGGGGCTTGCTGGCCAGCCAATCTAGCCAATCAATGAGCTCTAGCCTTAGTGAGGGACCCTGTCTCAAAAAAACAAGGTGGAGAGTGACAGAGGGAGACATCTGACTGCGCGGACCTCTGGTTTCCACATGCATGTTCCCAGAAGAGCTGCTGAGCGCGATGGTACATGCCTGTAACCCCAACAACTGGGAGGCAGAGGCAAGGGGATTAGGAGTTCAAGGTCATAGTTGGCTAGATGTGAGGTCAGCCTGGGCGACATGAGAACCTGTCTCAAAAGAAAATTGAACTTGGAGGCAAATGCTTGTAATTCCAGTAACTGAAAGGCTGAGGCAGTGGAATCATGAGTTCAAAACCTCTCTGTGAGTAAAGAGGGAAAGAGACAGAGAAGAATGAGAAAAGTGACAAAGAGAAAGGAGAAGATGAATAGGAGGAGGAGGAGGCTAGTCAGGCTTAGAGGCACAGCCCTGTTCTTCCAGCTACTTGAGAGGCTGAGGCAGGAGGATGGCAAGTTCAAGGTTAGCCTTGGCTACCGAGTGAGTTTAAGGCCAGCCTGGGCAATTTAGTAAGAAGAGCCAAGCATAGCAATGCATGCCTTGAATCCCAGCACTTAGAGTAGAGGCAGGTGGATCTCTATGAGTTCAAGGCCAGCCTGGTCTACATACCAAGTTTCAGGACTATAAACAAATGAATATCTCCCACATGCCTGTTCCTGAATAACCATCCAGAGGCTTATATTAATAATAAATGTTTGGCCGATGGCTCAGGCTTATTACTAGCTAGCTCTTGCATCTGAAATCAACCCATTTTTATTAATCTATGTACTGCCACGTGGCCGTGGCATTACGGGTTTGATGGCATGTTGCTGCTTGGGTGGCTGGCTGGCATCTGCCAGATTCCACCCTTCTTTCTCCCTCTATTCAGTGTGGCTTTCTCACCTAGCTATATTCTGCCTGGCAACAGGACAAATCAGTTCTATTTATCAACCAATGAGAGCAACACATATTCACCATACAGAAAGACATCCCACAGCACGGGACAGCCAGGCTAAATAGTGAGACTGTCTCAAAAAAAAAAAAAAAAAAAAAATTGCTGCAGGCCACAGGTACTATCACAAAAGCTACTACTTGGAAAAGTCAAGGACTTTTCCGAAGGTCAAGCCATGGCCTTACTAACATTATAGACTCCTAACTTCTTACCTAACCACTTCTAGGAATGTAGACTGAGCACATAAATTCCCTTCTTTTTTTTTAATTAATTACATTAATTGTATTGATTTATTACAGTCATGATATTATGTCCTGATACTACTGTTCATTTGTGGGTTTTTTCCATCACACAAAACAGAGATTCTGTACTTAGTAAATCATTGCTCTGTATTTATTTCTTCTATATCTTTTTTTTTTTTTTTTGGTTTTTTGAGACAGGGTTTCTCTGTGTAGCTTTGTGCCTTTCCTGGGACTCACTTGGTAGCCCAGGCTGGCCTCGAACTCACAGAGATCCACCTGGCTCTGCCTCCCGAGTGCTGGGATTAAAGGTGTGTGCCACCACCGCCCGGCAATTTCTTCTATATCTTGAGATAATGTCTAATCTTTCTGTCTCTATGAATTTGTATATTCTATATATGTCATGTAGTATAGTTCTATAGTATTTGTCCTTTTTTAATGTAAAAATATTTTATGTACAACTGCAGAAGAAATAATATACAGATAGCCTGAACATAAAGACAGGTTATAATTTAAAAGTCCGGGGTTAATAAGTTCCCTTCTTGATATACTAACCGGTCACTAGCTCTCAGTTAACCTCCCCCTTTACCATTCCCATTTTGGGTTGTAAAAGAAAGCCTGATGGTCACTGCCTGAGGAAAATTCTTACCTGCCTTTATGACCCTGTACGAATTCAAGCCTGATGATCTTGCTCAGCCAGAGGATTGATGTTGCTTGGTTTTATAACTGAGTACCTGAGAGATGAGGGAGCTGAGAGGTATAAAGAGATTTAGAGGAGGATTTGATATATAAAACTTGAGGAGGAGATGAAGAAGAGAAAAGAGAACGGGAGAACTAGATGGGTAAGAACTGGAGAGGAACAAACTGAGATGGGGAAGAACTAGATTGAAGGGCTAAAAGAGAGGACTAGAGGAACGAGATGGAAGATGAGGAAGAGCCAGATGGGGAAGAACAAGATGAGGAAGAAGGCAGTGGGAGAGGAGCTAAGATGGGAAGGAACTAGATGGAGCAGAACTCAGATGAGAGAATTAAGATAGAACTTAGAGGGGACAGCAGATAAATATAGAGAGAAATCAGGCAAGAAAGGAGCTAGACATGAGAGCAGAATAGACGCTGTGTAGAGAGAGAACTGATACAGAATAATAAGGTGTATGGACTAAGGAGTTTTGTGTACATAGATTAATTTCTTCTCATTAAAGATTACAATCAGCTGGTTGTAGAGTCTTCCCAGACCCTGGGAGGGGATTATCATGAGACTGGATCTCTATAGTCCCTGATAAAAATCAAATTTAAAAGATGTGATAAATAATAAGTGCCTGGAGAGCCTGCTCAGCAGTTAAGAATCTGCTGCTCTTGTAGAGTCTGTAAACTGATGACGTGACCACTCAGGGGATGGGTAAACAGAAAGTTTGTGTTGTGGATATGAGAGAGAACAGCCAGAGGCATCTGGAAGAGTCTGGAGCAGAGAGAGGGAGACAGACTGAACATGGTCAGCAGACAGGGCCTGGCCAGGAGAGAAGCAGGAGGGGTGGGGGGATGAAGAGGAAGAGAGTGAGGGCCAAAGAGAAAACCAAGGGGAGGACCAGGAAAGCTCATGGCTGAAACAGCAGTTATAAGAGGTGAGTAGCTATGGGGAGAGACGCTCCTGAGCTGGGAGACGTTAGGGGAGGGGGAGGCAGGAGCTGAGAAGAGTTAGGACGCCAGTGTGGACTCAGTGCCTGAACTGGTGTTAGTGCACTGGTGTTACTGAGGGAGGCTGGAGGCCGGCATCCGCTTTGGTGTGCTAATCGGCACCACAGATAAGCATTTGTCTCTCCTGCCAGTGAGAGGGGAAGTGGCCGCTTTGGCAAAAGGAGCCCCACAAGCTCCTGAGGAACACTGGCTTTGTCTAAGTACCAGAACTTGGAGAGATGGAGTTTCCTCTGGGCCTGACACAGAGAACTGGGTTCACTTCTCAGCACCCACACAACCGCTCACAGCCTTCTATTAACTCCAGTTCCAGAGGATCCAATTCCCTTTTCTGGCCTCCAAGGACGCCAGGTACACAATGTGCATGCATACATACATGCAAGCAAACACGCATACACATAGCATTAAATAAATAAATATTAAAAATAATAACTAAAGAATAAAAGACCATTGGAGGCATGGCTGGGCCCTAGAGCCTCAGATCCACCAGTGAGAGGCTCGGGCCCTGAGCAAGATTAGAGGGAGGGAGAGGTGAGAATTAGACCCTTGTTCAGGTGGAAGCTCCGCCTCAGCCTCCCCCGCCCCCCAAACCCGCCAAACGGTGGCTCCTCCCCCAGAGATGCCCAAGACCACACCTACAGAGTTTTTACACTGAACCCCAGGGACCAGCCATATGGTTTTTTTGGTCTCTTTTCCCTGTCTTCTCCCTGGGGGCCGAAAAATCATCTGGGAGCATTTTTCTCATTAAACCTGGACTTTAAATTCTTAATTCAGCTTGATTTGGATTACCGTGTTGGCAGAGAGGCTTAATATTGAGGTACAGAAACTTTTCATCTGGTGTGATGGCTGGGAAGGGGTTGGTCCTCACTCGCTCCTCCCACTCCCCCCCCTCCCCCGGCCATGTGGTGGGAAAACACTCCTCTCCTCACACCCACTCTCCGGTAGGCCAGATTGGCTTTTGGTCCAGTAAGTTGCCCATTCCAAGTCACTGCCTTAGAGGCCCAGGGTCTTTTCCGACTTTTGGGGCACCCTGCCAAAGATGTGGCCATGCCAGGATCGCCAACCTGCTACTGGAGCAAAGACTGGCTTTGTTCTGTGGGACCCCTTCTGTGGAAGTGTTATTCCCAGATCTCCGGGACCCCCCAAAATCCACCACAGAGACCGAATCCCATATGTAAAAGCAAAGAGCCTTGATTTTCAAGCTCGGAGCTTGGTCTCTCTGCCCAGTGCAGCAGAGAGCCCTGAGCCAGGCAGGGT